GGTGTAGTTTTTCTTTCTTTTTTATTTTTTTCTTTTCTTCCATTATTTTTATTTTTGCATATGAGTGTATTGCCTGCATGTATGTAAGTGCGCCTGTGCCATGCCCACAGAAATCAGAAGAATACTTCAGATTCCCCTGGAACTGGAGTTATGGGTGGTGGTTAGTCATCATGTGGGTGCTGGGAGTCAAACCTGAATCCTCTGCAAGTACAGTCAGTGCTCTTAACCACTGAACAACCCATAGGTTTTTTTTTTCCATTATCATTTATTCATTTTATGAATTACTGGGTATCATTTTGAAACTTTCATACATTTATGTCATGTACTTTGATTTTGCTCAACCAACCCGCCTTTCCCCTCTTGCTAGTCCCCTTCCTCTTCCCAAATAGTCTCCCTTTTGCTTTCATATCTTTTAAAAATATATTTTATTTTTATTTTATATGTATGAGTGTATTGGTGTGTTTATGTAGGTATACGTGGGTTATGCAGTACCTGCAGAGATCAAAGAGGGTGTCGGTTCCTGCGGAACTGGAGTTAGGATGGTTGTTAGCTGCCATGTGGGTCCTGGGATTCGAACTCAGGTCCTTTGCAAAGGCAACCAGTGCGCTTAACCGCTGAGCCATCTCTTCAGCCCTCTTTTCATATCTTACATATTGTTTTAAATTTCAGAGTTTCTGTTTGAGAGAAAGCATGGAATATTTGTAATTCAGATTCTGGCTTATTTTAAGCTGAACCGGCTGATCTCCAGTTCCCTTCACTTTCCTGTCAATGACACTGGTTTTTCTTTATGACTGAACAAAACTCCACTGTTTATGTATAGCATAAACACCTGTTGGTGGGCATCTAGTCTGATCTCATGACCTGCCTATTGTGAATAGTGTCACAGTCAACGTGAATGCACAGGCTTACTGCATGTGCTGGATAGCTTTAGTGTCAACTTGACACACCTGGGTTGAAGGAGTGTTAATTGGGGAATTGCCTCCATTGGACTGGCCTATGGCCATGTCTGAGGGGCATTTTCTTGATGAGTGATGTGGGAGGGCCCAGCCCATTGTGGGTGGTGCCACCCTGGGAAGGTGGGCCCCTGTGGCATAAGAAAGCAGGCTGAGAAGGGGCCGGAGGAGCAAGCCAGTAAGCCGCATTCCTCCATGGCCTGTGCTCCAGCTCCTGATTCTAGGTTCCTGACCTGAGTTCCTACCTTGGGCTCCCTGATGAACTGCAACCTGGGAGATGTAAGCTGAATAAACCCTTTTCTCCCCAGGTTGGTTTTGGTCAGAGTGTTTTGTCACAGCAATGAAGACCAAACTAAAACAGAAATAATGAAAATTATATCTGGAAGGCAGGAGATTCCTTAGGGTGACTTTTGGTGTTACCATGTCCTGTGATTAAGGTCAATGGGAAACTGTAACAGCCCAATCCAGACAGGACAACAAATGGCCCAGACCCTTCAGGGATCAAAGTATTAGTCACTCCTCCAGGGAAAGAGCCAAGACCTGCAGAGGTGCTTGCTGATGGTGGAGGAAATACAGAATGGGTAGTAGAGGAAGGTAGTTACAATGCCAACTTAGGCCACGTGACCAGTTGCAGAAATGTGGATTGTAATTGACATGAGTATTTTTGTCCTATTTGGTTAAGAATAGGCTTGTGTATGTATACACATATGTTAAGCAGATACTTGAGTTATTCTTTTTTGAATGTGTAATTGAGATGTGTTAAGTGGTTAAGTGTTGTGAACCTATGTGATTATATTGGGTTATGAGACACTAAAGGACTAAGCATTCCTCCAAGACCTTATCACCTGCTCTAAGATATATAATGCATTGGTCATTGTATTATGGGATAGTTATATCATGTTAGGTGAAATTATGACCTCAACATTGTTTTCATTTGAAAATTAAGCATGACATAGAGAGATGGTATTGGGTATCAGGTTGACAAGGGGTGGACTTGTGATGGCTAATCCTGGGTGTCAACTTGACTGGATCTGACATTAACTGAAATGAAAGAGATCTTCTTAATTGGATCATCTGAAGCCAGAAGACACGCCCTAATGTGGGCATTATCTTCTGATGGCAGCCTGTATAAAAGGCCAAGGCAGAGGATAACGCCAGGCTTCTTGCTGCTTGCCTTCTCTCTCGCTGGTGAGTTCGTCTTGCTGCTGTAGACTGAAGACTAGCTGATCTTTTGGAATTTGTCAGACCTTCAGCACCGGATTGGGACTACTGAGACATCCAGCCTTGTGGACTGAGCGACTACAGATTCTCAGCCTCTCCAGTGTGGTGCAGCCATTGTTGGACTACTCGGACTCTATTCTGTGAGCTAAGCTGATAAATCTCTATACATATATATTCATTCTACCAATTCTGTTTCTTTGGAGAGCCCTGACACTGCATTTACTGTGATTTACTGACTTAGATTCCTTTTGATATATTCCCATGTCTGGTATACTTGGATTATATGGTAGTTACAGTCTTAGATTCTTTTTAAGGAATTGGTACACCATTTTCCATAGTAGCTTCCCTAAAATTTATATTCCCATCAACAATTTATAAAGGTTCCTTTCCCTTGTATCTTTGCCAGCATTTGTCCTTTGATTTCTTGATATTAGCCATTCTGAATAGAATGAAATCTCAGTGTAGTTTTGATTTGCATTTCCTGATGGCTAAAGACACTGAGTATTTTTTCATTTATTTATAGGCCGTTTGTACTTAATCTTTTCAGAACTGCTCAGTTGCCCTTTTATTTAGTGGATGATCTGAGTTTTAGCATTTTTTCTGAAGTGATTGTATTTTCTGAATATTAATCTTTGTCAGATGAACAGCTGGCAAAGATTTTCTCCCCTTCTGTGTGTTCTCTTCCCGTTGGTAATTATCTCTTTTCTGTGTAGAAACTTTTTAACTTGATGCAATGTACTTTGTCAATTCTTGTTCTTACCTCCTGAGCTACTGGAGAAAGCCATTGACTATGCCTGTATCTTGAAGTGCTTCTCCTAGGTTTTTCTAGTAGTTTCAGAGGTTCAGGTCTTATTCAGCCTTTTTTTTATACAGAGCAAGAGATAAGAATTTGCTTTGCATTTCTCCATGTGGAGTTCCACTCTTCTCAGAACTCTTTGTTAAGAGGCTATCTTCGCTGTATGTTTTTGGCACCTTTGTTGGAAATCAGATGGCTTCTTTAGCTATGTGGATGTCTTTTGGATCCTCTGTTGAGCTTCATTCTCCTACATGCCTCCTTTTGTGCCCGCACCATCTTGTTTTTATTCCTATGGCTCTGGAGTTTGAGATCAGCATTTCTATTTTGTTTAGGATTGCTTTATCTGTGTGGGGTCTTTTGTGTTCCAAATGAATTTTAGGATTTTTCTTTCTGTTACCATAAAGAAGATCATAATTTTTAAAAAGGCTATTGATCCCAGCACTTGGGAGGTAGAGGCAGGCAGATCTCTGTGAGTTCAAGGCCAGCCTGGTCTACATAGTGAGTTCCAGGACAGCTGGGGCCATAGGGAGACCCTGTCTCAAAAAGACCAAAAA